AACGACAGCTTAGCCCGTCTTTGCTCGAAACATTGGAGGATCTCGGGAACTACATCAATCTGAAGGTCATATTAATGCCAAAATGGCTGCAGTACAATGCGAATCTCCTCATAATCTACTTCCATACGAAATGAACATCTTCACATGAGTCTTATCTTAGGAAATGCTTCGAAATCCGCATTTTCTTTATATAGATTATACTAAATATGTAGGATTGCCATCTTTTACGATTCCTGATCTCGAATTTTATGATTTTTGTTGAAGGATCCTTTCTGGTCCTTCATAGCAGAGCAGACGACAAGTCAGAACAGATAGATTAAAGTCACAGCACGTCATTCCAAGAACTTTTATGCTAAAGCCAACTCGTATAAATGCGATGTATTCTTCCCTCGGCTTCCTGTGGGGATAATTTATGAATCCCTCCTAACCAATTTTTCATTGCTAAAGATCCATATTTATGATATTCTTAAGTTTTCCTTATAAATCACGCTTTACATAAGATATTAAATAGATTATACTGAATCATCTTTATCTTATTCTAATTCTTTCTTTATTTTTCTTCCTCTACCTATCATGATAATTCCTGCCTACGGTAGTGTGCTCGTGAACAAACCTTGGCTGACCTTCAGACTCGGTTGACGGATAGTGAATCGGATCGTCAGCGGCTTCTTGAGGAGAACTGCAGAATAGCTAATGAACTCGCTGAATTGAAGACTAAGCAGGAGGTAACCAGTCAAATATGCATGATTTTATATATGCTTCTTTTCAGCCTAAATGTATAATCCTTGAATTTATCCTGAGCTAAATGTTGGGAGGATAGAGAAAAGAGGAATGAAAGCCAGGGGGAAAGAAGATTGGTATGGATTAAACACGCTAATAAATAAGCGAAGCATGCTTAGGTTCCCATGTACACGCCCTCACACTGATGAGGGAGATCAAATGTACTTACTCTTTGTTTCACTTTGTCTTGTAGCCAATGCGAACCGCTTCTTAGAATAGTGTTCCTTCTAGTCCGCTCTTGGATACGAGTCTGGTTTCGCTCATGCTTTAGTGGTCTTCGATTCATTGACATGGGTCTAGAGAAGAGCATGCTAAGGACATGTACCACACTTTTTCATAGAGCCTAAATGCTGTAATTTTCATCGAGTCGAGTATGTTTGCCATCTGTTTTGTATTCACTCTATGTTATTTTAATTTTGACGCTTTCTGTAGATCCGCCAGTTCCCATCCTACTACTAGGGCAGCTCAGACTAGAGATATATGCGACTGAGCAAACAGCGTTGGCTTGGACCACTTTAAAATAGGTCTATTGTAATACTTATTCTGCACAATAAGGGACGTTAATTCCGGATGCACTTATTAAATGCTCCGGAATATTATTACTTTTTCTCTGGTGATAGATACAACCACATTTATCGATTTATCATGCTCATTCAGTTAACCGCATTTGTGATTCTCGCATATTTACTTATTTTTTGTTCTAATTTTTCCTTTCCTCAAAACTCACACCATCTCGTCTATATTCATTGCCTAGAACTCAACTCCAGTTAATGCTACGATAATGCGACCAAGTGTCGGTAAGTACCAAGACGAACTGGGCGGTATGGCTGAAAAGGATGAGTCGTCCTTCAGTCTACCAGCCATTGAGAAACTGTCTTACGGTTGCCAGTTCGTCTCTGGAGACACCGATGCTGGATCTCTATTACAGAGTGAATGTAAAAACGAAGTGGAGGAGATAGAATATGTAAAGGCTTCCGTTTCTGAACTCCAAAAATCTCTTGAAGAGGCAACTGGGCTTCTTGATATATCTCGTCAGCAAGTGGAGTGCCTACAAGCCGAGCGTGATTCCCTACAGTCCAGAGCGGAGGCCCTCCAAACATCCGCAGATGACAGTGGCCGGGCTCTGGCTGTAAAAACTCGGGAGTTGGAGGCGGCACTCGGGCGACTTGCAGAGGTGAACTCGGAACGTGACTCTTTGGCAGCCAAACTAGACACCTTTAAGGCTGCTGGTGAAGATAACGACCATTCTTTGTCCGTCATCCAGACGGAATTGAAGGAATTACGCAATCAGTATGAGGTCCTTCGGGCCGATCGTGACACATTGCAGGGAGACTTGGAGGAGACGAGAACCTCTTACTTGGCTCGTCAGTTTGAGCTTCTTGAGGCTCACAGGCAGTTGGAGGAATCTACCGTCGATAAGAGTGAGATGCGCCAGGAGTTGGAGACTTGCAAGGCAATGCTGGAAAGTCAGAGGCAAAGACTTTCTGAAGCCGCTGCTTTGCAAGAGGAGGCACAGAAGCAAATAGCCGATTTGAAGTTGGAATGCGAGGCTCGGCAAGTGGAGATAGATGACCTGAAGACGTCTACTTGTGAGGCGAATTTGCAGCTGGAAAGAGCACTAGCTGAGTGGAATACTCTGCAAGCCAAAAATGATGTAATGACGATGGAAACGACAGACCTTAAAAAGTCACTTGAAGAGCGGAAACAGTTGCTCTCTGAAGCGGAACTGAGGCTGGAGGAGTCGCATCGTCAGTGTGAGGTTGTACAAGCCCAACTCGACTGTTTCAAGGAGGAGAAATCAGAGGCTCTTGAACAGCAGAAGCAGCTTGTAGCTCTTCAAGCTGACTACGCGACTGCTCAAGAAGCGTTAGCATTCCTCAATGCATCGCATGACGAAGACCGTCTTCAATTGGTCCAAGTGAAAACAGACCTCGAAAAGGCAACTATACGATCTGCCGAGCTGCACCATCAGCTGACAGTTTCGCAGACGTCAGCTGATGTGTCATACCAAAGCCTGACAGCCGCCAGAAGCGAGGCTGACGAGACATGCCTCAAATTGGCACAAGTCTCCTCTCAACGAGACGCTCTTCAGACTGAGCTCAGGTGTCTAACGGAAGCGTTGGAAGCGACTCAACAGGCCAAAGAAAGGGCTGAATTCGAGTTTGATGAAGCTAAAAAACAAGTCTTGGCTCTTCAGGCCGACTCGGAAAATATTAAAATTTCCAATGAAGAGGAAATGAGGAAGGCAGAAAAGCAAATAGAAAATATGAGTCTAGAACTCAACATTCTGAAAGTTTCCCTCGACCACTCAAAGGCCTCGGAAATTGAGAGTGATCAGACTGTTGCTGGAGCCAGAAAGGAACTTGCAGAGCTGCAAACGCGTCTCGAAGACCTGCAATGCGCATTCGAGGCTTCACAGGCGGAGGTGGCCATCCTAAGAGACGGCCAGCAGGAAGGGGCCACGTATCACCAAGTTCTGGCTTCGGAATCTGCAGACTTGGACGCCGTGAGAACGGAATCTGCCCCTTTGCAGACTGAGCTGGAGAACGTTCGAGTCCCGAAAGAGGCGAGTTTCGATGAGGCTTTGAGGCAGGTGAAGAGCCTAGTCTGTGAACGCGACTCCCAGTTGGCCGACCGGGTTGCACTTAATTCATCCAACAAGCAGACAGACTTGACTCTGCTGGTGCCCCAGCAACTGGGCGACGCTACATGTCTGCATTTGGGACTGGCACACACGGATTCCGTATTCGAGGCCTCGCAACCCCAGCAGACCCCCACAGATTTGAGCTGCCAAGCTGACGAGGCGCTGACGACAGATTTCGTCGAGCCTCAGGCATCAGCGATTGTAGAGAAAGGGAACGAGGAGTTGAGACATGAACATCACCGATTGGAGGAGCTTCAGGCGACTCTTCTGCAGGTCCATGATCAGACGATGCTAGCTGGTGTTTGTGAGGAAATGACCGTGAGTCAAGGGACCTCTCTTCAGCCTGAGTTGTGTACTCTCAACGAGGAAATGGCAACGCTGAGAGCGGAGCTCAGCAGCTTACAAGAAGAGAACGCCTCTCTCAAGCTGAAGGTACTCGTTGTCAATTGTCGACAATTTGGTAACATTTATATTCCTCATTTTGCTCTTATCCGTCCCTTTGACGTACAATACTGGGAACCTGGCTCGAGATTGATAGGTAAAATGAAAGTGGCAAAAATGCAGAAATGATGTAGTTGGCGAGCTAGATTAAAAGAGTTGGATAGGTTAAGAGAAATTATGCTTCAGAATAGTCGTGCACTAAAAGTGACTGTGCATAATAAATAGAGGAGAATAGGTCGAGAAGAGATAGTGATTAAGAACAAAACAGGGACTTGAGCCATTTTCTAAGTTTCTGGTGTCATTATTATGCCTGACTGCAAATAAGATTCGCAAGCTACTGAGGAACTTGGACGTTATGATCATGTTTGAAGAGTGGCACTTTTGCGAAATTAAGACTTTTTCTCAAGATCTTATTGTTACAAAGCGTTGTGCTTTTTGTAGAAGAGATTTCTCGACCCATAAATAAAAGATTATCTGAAAATAAAACCGCCTTAACGAAATCATATGTCCAGATATCAGACGTATCCGAACCGTAATCGATACTAGACACCAAATCGAGTGGTCTAACAGCAAGCATTTTGCAGAATTTCGAGACTATTGCTATCTGACACAGAGAGAGAGAGAGTGTGTGTGTGTCAACCAAACATTTGCTATCTAATTTATATCACAAAATCAGGTATAAGAAGCAAGTAGGGTTTTAGCCCACCATCTTTCTTGGCTTACTTTACTGGTTTCTTGTTCTGTTGATGGTCTCAAACGCATATGTTTGTTGATTATGGTAGGCCTTCTACGAAAGGCTATTGGAATAAATAGATTAGGCAATAAATTTAGTGCGAGTAACGCTTAAACGACGGTTGTTTCTTGATTTAATTTAGACGCGTACAAGCTTACATCGCATTATCTTTACCAAAGTTGCTTAAGGACTTACAAAATCTCGGTCAAGTCTTTATGTGTCATTAAGCGTTGATGGCCATAACCTGATATTAGGCCTTTTTGATCACTGATTTTGGGCTAGTATTACGTACAAACGCTAATACACACGCAAATAGATACGCTCAAGTAAAAGTACCGTGAGTAATATGAAATAAAACTAATCAAATCATTCTATATCAATATATTTTTTGTCTTTTAGTTATGTATCTATATAAGATGCAATATAGAGCCTGACAGTCTTTTTGATCTGGTGTTAACTAGAGACTTTTATAAGAATTATTTCCAGATCTGATGATTTCTGTCAAATGACATAATGAAGCAAAGCTTGGCCCTGTTTCATTCGACACAAGGATGGATGTCTCGCCGACTACGTCAACATGAAAGACGTATTAAAGCCAGAAGGCTGCCGAACAACGTTAATAGACCGTCGTCACCCGATGAGGTCAACCGACGAATCTCTGCATCTTTCATTTTAATGCGAAATGAAAGCCTCTCCAATAATGTTACCTTAAGAGGTTCATCGAAACCCAGTTAATTTTCGTATTTAAAAATCCAGTCGCAACTGCAAGATAATCTTCCAGGGATTTTCGAAACCCAGTCTATCTATGATTTTTCGTCAAAATCTAACCAAAGTCCATACAACCTGGCATGCGACTATATCTTAAACATTTTATTTACATATTTTTAGCCCGAATGCTAGTAAATTTAGCACAAGTGTGGTAAAATATGAGGTAAATGGGACAGGCAAACTAACATCCTACTAGGACCCAGTTAGTTTGGCATATGTTCTTGACACATTCTCCACTTACACCACTTTGCCATGAGTGGCCTTGGGGCATAGGGCAGACGCAAGTTTAAAAAAAGGGTCAAGTCTTTTCCATATCACATTTTTATTTGGATGATCGACGAAGCAAAGTTATATTTGCTATTACCATTGACGGCATTACTTATTTTCGTTTTAAGTAGGCCTCGATAATACTTTAAACGAAAATTAGTACATTGTAACTAAGCCAACTTTGAGTACTTGTTTGTCAGGTGTGGTGTTGGAGGTTCTATGCCACAGCTGATGACATTCTTTGGAATCATTTGTCGATGAACAATTTTGATTTTTGGTATGGTGAGCAGGCATCAGGAGCCTTCAGTAAATCCGTTGCCACTGAAAAATTGTTTTCTACAATTGAGAATGGGCTGTGTTGCGTTGTGTTGATTAATCACGCTGATTGAAAATAAAATCCAATGTTTCTGGCGTCAGGTCTTTGTAAAACTTACTGAGTTGATATCGTTCTCCATGAAGTCATCACCGCTCTAAAATGAAAAAAACATTCAAGCCAAACAACCCCTTGTCAGTGTAATCACCTATTTTTAACTCAGGTATGTGATCCAGTCTGCGCTCCAATTTCGAATTTACGTGTGCTGTGCGTGCGTTTGTCAAAAATAGTACTTGAGTGCTTATTTCCCCCAGATCTTAGCATAGCAGAAGATCGACCTACTTCAATCGTAAGCGATTCCGACTTGCAAGTTTTGACTGATTTCCTTCAGAAGGTGAATCCCTTTTTTCTGGAATTTACGAAGTGGGCAAAAAGATTTTTTTTCTCTCCGAGTACCAATCGAAGGTTTGGGTTACAAGCTGCGGTTGCCTACTTCAACATTTTGAATTGGCAATAAGTCTTTCGTTATAGCCACCCTTACATGTTTAGAACTCGATTGTATACTTGCCTAACTCCATTCACCTTTTTCCATTTAATTTGATCACTCTGTTCTCACTACTTTGACTGATCCTGAAACTGAACTGTATTTTGTTCTCCTTTAGATACCGATCTTGCTTTGATGAAGGACCCATTAAGTGAATTGACCTCCTGCATATAAAACCATCGTCAGTCGATAATATTGATTTGGATGCATTAATGATGAGGCATCTGATCTCGCTTTTTTCCACAAGTATCCCCACGATCACTTGGGGCACTATTTAAACTTGTGATTT